CCTGCACACCTCACGGGTTGTGGACGGACAAGACGATGGTTGACCCGGCGTGCCCACTCCGAGAGGTGCCGTTCTCGATGGCGATTCGTGCCACCTACCAGCTCTCGGTCGGCTGCAGTCAAGGCATGAAAAATGGCACATCATCTTGCATACTCAACCTCTAACCAAGATGGTTTCTTCCACTACGAGCACTCGTCAGCGGTTGGCCGCTCACTCCCCACGCGGATGCGTGAGACCCAGAAGCTGGAAATGGCGCGTGGTCTGAAGCAGACATCCGCCCAAGCCGACGTCGCACGAAATCTAGAATCCGATGTCAGAGAGCTGTTTGTCTCGTCTTGAGCTGCGAACCTCGTGCTAAAGTGAATCAGTTCCATGGCCAAACCCGACGGCCGCCGTGGAGAGAGAGGCAGCGAATCGTCCGGCAGCGATGCAGGCAATAGCCAATTTTGAAGCTGCCATTGGTGCATCTACAGGTGCCAGCAAGGGGTCGCTCAGGCACAGTCGTGTCTCCCCGCCATGCCCCGGGCTTTCTGGACGGGAAAAGAAACCGCCCCTGGATTTTGAATGTGCGGTGTGAGATTTCCTGTCTGATTGAAAACGCCTTCATGAACACCCACCACGCCATCGGCCAATCGCTTACTGTTCTGCCGCAAGATTTATCGGCCGTTGGCGGCATTCGCCCGAGAACTCTGCTGGTCTAGCCTCTTCCTTGCATTACGTGATGCAAGTAATGCCTCTTGAGAGACAGGAGGCTAGGCGCTGTCAGCTGCCAGACGAGAAATTGGCGGTGCATTGGCTCGATTGATAGTTCGATCGGTTCGTTCAATCCAGCCACGGCTCGGGATATGCTGGCTGAGACGATCTCGATTCATCTTAGATTGCGGGTGAGGCACTGATGCTAAGTGGTTATCGGAAGCGTCGACTATTCGTAGTCCTCCAGACGCGGGGCAATCCTACATTGTGCCAAGCCCCGTTTGATATATGGAGGGGTTGTCTTGATTGACCTCACCAGCCATGCAACATCCAGCCAGACCTGGCGATTGAAGCGTTGCGCGCCGGACCGTCGTTGGGCCGGGCACTTCGGGCTTACCGTCCGAGCACACGCCGGCCTCGAAACCGTCACGGAACCGACCGTCCTTAGTGGGACGCTCGGAGCCTGAGCAGTGAAAAAGTCTTGACCGCTTGTTCCGTGTTGAGTGTTCTTGTACGGAGCTGAAAGCTGCTTCGACATCATTCCTTCATGCCACCATCTTTCCTTTGGAGGGGTAATATGAGCGGGGATTTCAGGCACCGGTTTTACAGCTCGAAATAATTCGAAACGCAGCTTGAGCAGCTGAAGAATGTGTTCTTGAATAGCAAGACGGGTTTTCTTGGCTATGCAAGCACGTCGATGATGTGCTGGCTCCAGTCGCATCCCGGGAGGTTGACCGCCCTCGCAAGGAAGGTACATGGCCAACGCATGCATTTGGGGACGTCAAGCAAGTCACACCACAAGGCTGCCCGCCCCATTCGAAGGAAGTTCTTCAGAGAATTTCCAAATGCGGGTTTTCTCTCGAGATTGATAACGCGCCTTGATGGGTTCTTACAATTGGGCTCCGAATGGAACTCCTTCCGGTTGGCAGGCTCGAGGGCACTGTTGGTCCGCCCAACCCCCGCCGGGGTCACCCATTGCATCATCGGCTTTCTCGTGGTTGAAGAAGAGAAACTCTATGGGCTTTGGATGGAGAAAAAATGCGGTGTCGTGGATGTTTCATGAAGTGGGAGGGACGTCGTTGACCGGTCCGCGCGGGAATGTTCGTTCCTGACGAAACAACCCCTCCCCCTCCCCCCGCTTCTTCAACCTCCTGTCCCTCGTGGCGCCAGCCTTACGGGCGGTTCGTGCCCAACGGGTGGTGACTCATCGGCTTCACCTCCGCCGGTTCATGGGGAGCACCGATCATCCTTGTGTGAGCCGTGAGCTCATTGACTGCGAGGCTCACCGACCGAAGGTGAGAGTTTGAGAAAGTCGGCGCTCTCAGGCTCGTGTGAGGACGTCGTTCGTTTAGGTTTTTGTCGCATCTGAACTGGTGATCGTCCCGTCAGCTCACGTTGGTATGAGATGAAAGTGAGTTTTGAATTTGATGAGACAAGCATCGGACGGACAGACATGAGGTAATAAGTTGCGACGAAGCTTGTGAACTCTGTTCTCCCGTGTGAGCATCTGAGCGTTTCTGCACCAGCGGCAAGACATGCGATGCATTTGGCTCCATTCGTTATGCAGTGTCATGATGGTTCGTTTACGGTTGTCTGAATCTGGCATTGGTCAAGGTTACTCGACGTCTTGAGGCAGTAAACAAAACGCGCATTTGATGTCGAGTCTGAGGGCCCTTCTGCTCGACTCTTCGCTGTGTTGATAAAACGATCGGCATGAGTTGAACTATTTCACAATACTCTTCAAGTCATAATCAGCTTGCTCTAGTAGGTCATATGACTTTAATTTAGAGAAGGTATCTCCGTCGTTGCCCTACGACAAGTTTTGGCTGTCGATGCGACCAATTCTCGCAGTGAACCGTTAATTGTTAGCCTTGCTTCGCGGTCACGGGACTCATGCTATGTTCTGATGAAATGGAGGTTGACTCATTCATCACTCAGATGTCGCTCTTCCAAATGATGAGATCTGCTTTTCGCCGTCTTCCTGGAGGCATCTTTTCTCCGCTTCGTCCACGCTGCTAGATGAAACTCACAAGGTTGATGACGATCAAGGCTCGTCTTCCGACAAATGACTTTCCAGCCCGATTCCGGCACTGTCGAGATCGTCAACGGATTCAACCACGAAGTCCGCGAGACTGAGGTCTCCAAGGCGGGACGGGACGAATGTCCTTCATAAACGCACACGAGGACCGGGGCCGAGAGGCTACGTGCCCAATACGAACCCCGAAGTATGTGCTGTGATGACGAGCTAGGACGAGGTTCTCCGCGATCACAACGAGACTTCCTGTCTAGACAGCAATTAATAGGATTTTCGCCAACAGACCGTCCCATTCTCTCTCTGTGTTGGCCAGTGCGTGTAATCCCGCGACGTGCGTGACGATATTTGAGCTCCGAGGCTCGACGTGTGTGGGTGATGAGCGTGTGGTCTGTCGACTTGAGCCCGTGGAGGCCGAGGAGAATGTATGTATCATGAGGGTATCCACAACTTTTGGTGACAAAAAGCGTCTTGAATCGAGACACTGGTGAGTTGTAAAGACATAACAATGAACGAAGCCGGAGATGCGTCGGTTGTCCATAGGTAATTGAATACCGCACCCAACCCAGCCGGTCCCTTTTTCGACGTGAGATTTTCTAAAGAGAACAGCTTTTGGAAGATGGACAATCTTGAGCCGGATACCAGCACCAGACAGAAAATAGCAGCCAACGCCGGATTCCAAGACATCCTCTCCATGGGCTGTAGATCAATCTCGTTGGTATTCTCGAACTGAAAACGACGAGGGCGTCAGTTCGTACTCGTCGTCATTCTCTCTGGCGTTTTTGTCAACGTCCCTGACACCATGACTGGATTCGTTGAAATGTCATACTTCATGCTGTCCTTACGGCACTCACTTCTCACAGGTGATATGGCACATATACTGAGGGAAGTGAAGCTCTCCGGTGACCGACGATGATGAGTTTGAATGCGAGCTACGACGCTAAGCCCGTGGATGCCAGACCTTCTTGATGGGTGAGCTCAGAATATGTAAGAATAATGGTTCGGATAAAACCATTGGCTTTCATTGAGAAGGCTTCATAGAGCCCCCGAGACCAAGATTTATTCTGGCGTCTATAAGGCTGACCTGTTTGATATATTCAAGCGGCTTTCCACTTCGTTCATCGTCTGCTGGAGATACAGGGAGCATCCATACCGAAGGCGCCCTTCCCTGATCACGTCTTCACTCGGGTTCACATGTGGAGTCATCGAGGAAACGTGTGAGATGTCGTGTTGCGGACATGGAATCGCAGTCATCGAAACTATTCATGAGTTCGAGGGATTTCAAGCATACCAGTTTTGACCAGAGAAATCAGAGAGAAGTTGGAGAACCAACACAACATATGAACTCAAGTCTAAGAGGGCGACTACATTGTGCGTAAGACACTTTGTATTTCGAGTTTAGGGATAAATGTAAAACGAATCCAAAATTTCAAGAAAGGAGGCTTCCTGGGAATTCGTCACCCAAAACGTCATCGGCGTCCTGGATTCTGAATGGGGGCCATCCCGATGTGTGGCAAGATGCCAACTTCTCGGTCTCCAGGCACTCTTGGGTACGTAAGATAATAGACGCTATTTGAATATTAGGGGATTGATGATTGGACTATAAACACATCCCTTCAGCAAGTCCCAGCCAGCCTTTGCCATTCAGAGATCTGCGTAAGATACCTATGATTCGAACATGACACCAGACTCATAGAGTATACACTGGATGATTTTAATAACAAACCAGGTTGTACATCAGCTATATAAAAACGTTAGCTTATAGCAAAAAGTTGCATACATTTCCAACTCAGTAGAATCAACTACGTAAAACAGACTTCTGGTACTCTAATGACATTGGCATCTTAAAACGTTACAAGATCGCTAAACCACACGATAAGGCAAACTTGGTCAAGAAAACTTCACGGAGAACGTTCTTCAAAAAAGGCATGAAGACAACGACTGAATGAAAACATCGTGAGGTGACGTCTTGGTGTTGATGGTGGTGGTGCAGTGACCTTCCATAAGGTAACCCCGCGGTGGGTCCTCAGAGCTCACTAGCGCAAACACACTCGACCAATCAAAACCAGGGTACCCCCACTTCAATGAACTTCCTTTGATGACCGAGAACCACCACGAACCTCAGTGAGAAGGACGCTCACTCACCAATCATCCCTCTCAGCCTTACAAAACCGAACGATATTTTCGAACACACGAAAACAGGAGCTCGTACGAGCCTCGTATCTCACTGAAACCTCCAAAAACATAAACACTCCGCGCCCCTCGCGGCCGAGAAATGAGACCCCGCATCAAACCTCTCAACCGCCGTCCCAAAGTCACCTTCACCAAGCGCGCATCAGAAATGGCCGCGGCCCAGCAACAACAGCAACAACCACCACCCCCGCCGGCGGCGCAACGCCCGGGAGGCGAAAATGACAACCCGGACGAAGACGACAACTTCGTCGACTACTCCAGCGACTCGACGACCGACCTCGCCGCGGCCACCCGGCCCCCGCACCCCGCCGTGCCGTCCCTCTTCACGGCCCCCTCCCCGCCCGTCCGCGACGCCCTCGCGACCGCCACCTCCAGGACCCAGGACGACACCGTGCAGCAGTGCGTGCCGCTGCTGGCCGCCACGGACCCGGACGTCGCCCACAACGCCCGCGGCGTCCCCGCCCTCCTCCGCGACAACCACGTCAGGTTCCTCCAGAAGCAGCTCGGCCGCTTCCCGGCCCCCTACGTCGCCGCCGACGCCAGCCGGCCCTGGTTCCTCTACTGGTCCCTCAACGCCCTGGCCCTCCTCGGCTTCGACACCGCCGTCTACCGCGACGACCTCGTCAGGACGGTGCGCACCATGCAGAACCCCTCCGGCGGCGTCGGCGGCGGCCACGGGCAGAACTCCCACCTGGCCACCACGTACGCCGTCGTGCTCGCCCTCGCCATCGTCGGTGGGGAGGACGCCTACGAGGTCATCGACAGGAAGGCCATGTGGAGATGGATCTGCTCTCTCAAGCAGCCCGACGGCGGCATACAGATGACGCTGGGCGGAGAGGTGGATGTCAGGTAGACCTTTCTCTCTCTCTCTCGTTCTCACCACTCTACTTCCCCTGCGACCGTCTGACTCGAGCGATTTAGGGGAGCATACTGCGCAGCCGTCATCGTCACCCTCCTGAACCTCCCTCTAGAACTATCTACAGACTCGCCGGCGTGGACGCCTGAGCGGCCCACGATTTGGACCGGATTGGCGGATTATGTACGCAGATGTAAGTCATGCCTTAGCCCCGGCTGCCTCTCTCTCTCGTTCCTCCCCGGGAGCTCACACACACACGCCCCCCAATAAGGCCAAACGTTCGAGGGCGGGATATCGGGAAAACCGGATGGTGAAGCGCATGGCGCCTACGCGTTTTGCGCTCTGGGCTGCCTCTCGATTCTGGATACTCCGCATCGCATCATTCCAAAGTACGTAGTTCTTTCGCTTTCGCAGTGGTTTCCCCCCCCCTCCTCCTCCTCCTCCCCCTTTCGCTCCGTCGCCCCCCCTTTTTGAATGAGGGGTCGACATTGATATGCATCGAATTCGAACTGACTCTCGCCGCGTCCCCGTGACAGATACCTTGACGTGCCACGACTCATCTCTTGGCTCTCGTCACGGCAGTACGCTCCGGAGGGTGGCTTCAGCGGGCGCACGAACAAGCTCGTCGACGGCTGCTACAGCCACTGGGTCGGTGGGTGCTGGCCACTGATCGACGCCGTTCTGAAGGGTGCGAGCGAGCTCGACGAGCAGCAGGAGGACCAGGATCGGCCGAGGTCTGCTGCTCCGCACCACGGCAGCCTGTACAGTCGAGAAGGACTGATCCGGTACATCCTGTGCTGCGGACAGGACCGGTCCAAACGCGGCGGCCTCCGTGATAAACCGAGCAGGTGAGTGTCGACCCGACCATGCGTCCCCAATCTCTCTGTATGAATAGGAAAATCTGACACTTGGGATGGCAGGCCGTCCGACGCGTACCACACCTGCTACGTGCTCTCCGGACTGAGCTCGGCACAGCACCAGTGGGATCTCACATATGTCAACGAAGACGAGACGATCCTCCCGGAGCCGAAATGGGTGGTGTCGCCGTGTGCCGAGGAGGGCGCGCAAATATTCGACGAGGAGGACCGCGTCGGGACGATCCACCCCGTCTACACCATCCCCCAAGAGAGCGTCGACGACATGAAGGCGTATTTCGCGGCCAAACAGGGCTTCTGAAATTGTACCGCCACCAGGCCGCCGCAGAGGCGACCGCCCCCCCTCTATGTATGAAAAGGAGGAAGGATTGCGATGCAGTCGACTCTTGTGTCACGTGGGCTTTTGGTGAAAATGGGCTTTTGGGGGATATACTCCGTGAACGTCGACGCGCCTACCGACGGCCGCGACCAACAGGAGGGTATAAGGGGGGTGGAAGAATTGCGGGATGAACACGACGGAGCCTGCAGCTTCGAGGCCCGGCGCAAGAGATCTCGGACAGGGATCGTACGTGAAACTTTGGACAACTCATCACTGCAATATGGCGACGCAGGAGACTTTGTGGTCGTACATGTCAAGGTCTGGGCTGGGCCTCCCAAAGGGTCGAGTTGCATGGTAAAGTCCGCGCGCGAGCTGCAGCGCTCGAATCGACATACAATGGCGGGCTGGAGGAGGACGAACAGTCTGGTAATGGCAGGTAATACAACGCAGCAACGATATCTGGCCTTGTAAGAAGCCGTCGGCCAAATTGATCGGTCGGCGTCATGTACCATCCATGGGATGCCCACCTCTTTGACTCCCGTCCCGCGTTCTCAACGGTCAACGTGGAGGAAACAGTCTTTCCGCTGCTTCTCCTGACTCTCAGCGCCACGGCGTGGTGGCGGCGAATGCACATCATACCTAGGCCGGGCCAATCTGGCGGCTTCCGCCCCTGCAACACGCCACTTTGATGCCTCTGCCGTGCGCATCTCGCGTGTGGCAGCCCGCCCAGATGTGCCTGTACGAATGCTAGACGGCGGGCTGGAGACGACGACCTGGATGCTTGTCTTGGAGGCGGCTGGCAGATTTGAGACATCAGGCAGAGGCAGGCTGAGAAGTCAGAGACATCTGCTGCGAGCGTGGTGGATGATCCCGGTAGACTGACCTTACCCATGGCTCCCACGCGGTGTTCGATTGGCGCATCTCGCCTTGCAGGAGCGCGCAGGGCCTGGGCGCAGATGTCTTTGCTGTCATACATATACAAGACGCCTCCGTTAGTGGCATTGATATCAAAAAGACCCGGGAGTGGTGTTGTGGCCGGCAGAACTGGCCGCTCTGTGTCTCGAGGAGACATGAGTTTTCCCACTTGTTATTGAGGAGGACGCGTCGTCGGACGATAAAGGTGGCGGGAAAAGAGAGGTTCAGATTGGATTCCGTCAGATTGGTCTCGACGGTGAGCGGCATACTGTCGGTGGTTCAAGGCCCTTCTGCGTAGCGTGAACACGCCCGCAGAGAAGTGCAAAGAAGCCAGCCCAGGCCAGATGCTGCTGGCGTGGCGTGGCGTGGCTGCTGCAGTCGGAACGGTAGAACGGCGGTCTGGTCTGCGGTGCGACCTTAGTCCCGGCGTGGAAGCTCGTTCGAGAGACGTCGTCCTCTCTTCATGTGCATGTTGACGATGAACCCCCCATCTCACAGGCCACAGCCCTTCAGCTGTATCCAATGACAGATGGACCAACTGGACGTCTGAGAGAAATGACGTTGGAAAAAGGCCAAATATGCTTGTTTCTTCTGGCGGGGTATGGTAGAGGCTGGCGAGGAGAGGTCCCTGATGTCTCGCCCCTCACACCCCTCATGAACAGCAACCCCGGCAGGCCAGCTATTCGAACGGGGTACTGAGTACAGAGCATGGTACACGAAAGGGACACCAGCGTAATCATGAACTTGTATTCCCGAGCCACCGGATCCCGCAGGCGGTGGTGACAACAACCCGACGGTGGGTATTAGACTCGAGTGAGGATGGAGACTGTGCGACGGCCGACGACGGACAGACGGTGAGAGGAGTCACGAGGTCATCGAGAGGCCTCACTCGGCCGTGGCCCGTGGGAAGCCGGGCATGATGGGAGAGAGAGGTCGAAAATGGTGGGGGTTCGTCGTCGTGTTGGCAGGGCTGGCGAGGATAAGGTGCAGAGAAAAGATGGCTCGGAAGAAGTTCCGGACGCAATGAGGGTATCCCCAGTGCCATGTTCCCTGTCGGATATCCATTTTGGTATGTCTCGGCCGTCTTCCAGGAGGGGTCGTTGAATCACCGGACGATGGATGACGGGGCTGATGGATGTCATTGTGCTTAACGACAACCGGGGGCGAAGAAGGCAGCAGAGTTTCGATGCGATGGTGTATTTTTCTGCGGTAATTTGAGGCAAGAAATAGTGCCGTTTCTCATTTGCTGAAAAGGATAGCAATGTGTCATGGAAAAATAAGGACGACATGTCGCCAGCCGTCGGGTGCAAGTCACGTCACCTCCAGCCACCGACGAAGACAGTGAGCACCAGCTGTAGCTGTGAGTTGTAAGCTGGAGCTGGAGCTTTGAGGCCGGCACCGATTTGAGGGGTTCACTTGTGTTGTGGAGACGGTGGAGCGCCAGGCCGGCCGTGGGAGGGGCGGTCGATGGAGAGTGGAGACGTGGATGGAAAACGCAGGCAGGGTTCTGGAAGGTGCAATTGGCGAATCAGAGCGCAGAGCGGTGTCTACGGCGGCGCTGCGAGCTGGAAGGAGCTGGCCAGCTCTTGTAAGGTTCAGGTAGCTTCCCTCTTGTAGGTCATGAGCAGTGACTGCCATTTTTCCTCTTACGAGAAGGTGCGATCAAATTATTCATAGAGCTATTAGCGCCTTCCATTTTATTTTCCAGATGTACTCTGTATTCGGCAGGAAAGCACGGGCGATTCGCCGAGGTGGTTGACGTGCCAATAGAATTAGGTTACTCCGTACCGCCTGCCCGAATGCCCGTCAGCTTTAAGCGGCAGGAAGAGAGAAAGGAAGGAACGGTTCGCCTGCGGCAATCTGAATGCGCCTGCCTCACATTGCATCAGTAGCACATCTCGACTCTGTACCAGAGATTGAGGTGGACTTCACACGATGCAGATGAATGATGTATTGGTAAGGTACGGAGGGCCTGTTGCCTCGCTGCTCCATCAGAAATCATGAGCTACATCTACCTACCTTAGGTACATCTTCAAACTGGACATTACCTCAGCGGTCAAAGTACATCATGGCCGACGTGGTTTCCTGATTTTCTCATTTCTACCTCACCTAGATTGGATACCTTCCTTACCTTTGCAATTTCAACGTCCACCTCCAGCGGCATTGCCAACTCATCATTGCATGGACTGCGTCTGCGTCTGCGTCTGCGTCCTCAGGCCCTGCCTGCCTGCGCCTGCGCTTCTTTGCCTAGTTCTGCCTTTTTGGCGCGCGCGCACCAGTTGCAACTTGCAGCGCTGCATCTGGCTACTCCTCCTCTTGCTTGCTGCTAATGATGCAGCACCACCAGAATTCCCTGTCAAGTACAGTGTATCCCTGCTCCGAATCTATTGTGCAGAGATACATCTCTCTTCCCCACTTTCTCCCCACGCCCTCTCAGCGTCCTCACACCTCGCAACCACAAACCACCACCACAACACCTTCACCACACCTCACAGGCTCACCTTGACCTCACTGCTCTCTTTCTCTCGTCCATACAGGCCGTCGTCTTCGTTCGCCGTCGCGATCCTCACCAGCATTCCCGCACACACCTCTCGGACCTGTCGCCGTCGTCCGTTTCCGGCCACCCAACGGTCTGCCTTTGCGTGGCCGGTGGCTTTTGACCTCTTTTCTCGGCCCATTTACACTCGCCCTCCGTATCGTCGTCCAACCTCTTCAACTACGGATACTTCACCGCAGGAGAGGACCCTTTGGCCTGCCCAGGCAGTCTACGGCATTTAGACAACACAGAGAGAGGGGGAGGAATGGAGACATGCAGATGATTCTTGCAGATGGACAACTGCCTATTGCAACGATAACGACGCACCCCTCTTGGTCCCATGTCGCTCATCCCACCCCAAGACCAGTCACCAAAGTCGAGCCAAAAAAGATGCTGAAGCTCGCTCGTTTTCCCCATGTCGATGGATCTCGCCCCCGTCGAACCCACTTCCGGTAGCCTCTTCTCGGCGCTGGCAACTGTTCATGCACGTCGTCCAGGCCCTGAACCTGAACAACCACAGCACATGAGAGATGACCCCTTCACCGACTTGCAATCTCGTCCGCCGCGCCTCTCTGCCGCCCGCCGGGGACGGGGCTAGAATCTTGTCCATGGTTGGCCACCGGACGCCCGTCGTTCGTTCCTCCTGTGCCGTCGAATTCAATTCCCTCGACGACGACGCCATCGACCCGACCCGACTCCAATTGCCAGCGCCGGCGCCAGCATCGCTACATGTCGCCAGCAACGCACCTCGGTCAATCCTCGCAATAACATCTCACCTCCAGCGTCTCGCCGCCAACCCTCTGATCACTGTCGCCTATGTACGGATACATACGAATATCTCGGAGACGATGGGCCTATTTTAGTCGGCACCCATGCTGACGCTCCGAACCAACGAACGGTTCTCCGGAAAACAAGCTCTGATTCGCTGCTCCGTCCCTGTTCCATCACCGCAAGGAAGGGCCGCACACTATTACACTACGATGCCTTGGGTACGGAGACCGGTGTACACTGCGACGGGGAATTTTCTCCATTTCTCCAAGCGCTGATTTGCCGACGACACCGGGGCATTCACGATTTTTGCCATCTCTGACTGGGCACCAACCGCCACACTACGAGACGAGACTGGCTGAGAAGCCGTTTTGACTTTGATGATGCCGTGCGAATCGCCCGCCGTTGCTGCACATCATTGGGAGCCACTGGATGATCCCAAACGTGGCCCCGGCGCCTGGCCTATTTTCTTGCCCTGTCCTAGCTAGCATCATCGCATAGCTGGTTGAAGCTTTGCCTGACATGGCACAGACGGACGAACTTGGCTGTCCTGTGGCTGCCGGTTCTTCAGAGTCAGACTTCGGCTTCTCTTCTTCGTCCTTCTGTCACGGTCTCACAATGTCACCTTCCAAGTTACCCGCATCGTCGTTCCAATCCCCAGCCTCGGATCCCGCAGCACAAGCGAGCAAGCGACAAGCGGGTCAATTCCATCTCAACGTTGGCGGGGGTCGTTTTCCTCCCCCTCGACTTCGACTCCGGTTCC